GTTATGTACGATAATCTCCGGGATGTTATGTACGATAATCTCCGGGATATTATATACAGTAATCCCTGGGATGTTATGTACGATAATCTCCGGGATATTATGTACGATAATCTCCGGGATATTATGTACGATAATCTCCGGGATATTATGTACGATAATCTCCGGGATATTATGTGCGATAATCTCCGGGATATTATGTACGATAATCTCCGGGATATTATGTACGATAATCTCCGGGATGTTATGTACGATAATCTCCGGGATCTTATGTACGATAATCTCCGGGATGTTATGTACGATAATCTCCGGGATGTTATGTACGATAATCTCCGGGATATTATGTACGATAATCTCCGGGATATTATGTACGATAACCTCCGGGATATTATGTACGATAATCTCTGGGATATTATGTGCGATAATCTCCGGGATATTATGTACGATAATCTCCGGGATATTATGTACAATAATCTCCGGGATATTATGTACGATAATCTCCGGGATGTTATGTACGATAATCTCCGGGATGTTATGTACGATAATCTCCGGGATATTATGTACGATAATCTCCGGGATATTATGTACGATAATCTCCGGGATATTATGTACGATAATCTCCGGGATATTATGTGCGATAATCTCCGGGATATTATGTACGATAATCTCCGGGATATTATGTACGATAATCTCCGGGATGTTATGTACGATAATCTCCGGGATGTTATGTGCGATAATCTCCGGGATATTATGTACGATAATCTCCGGGATGTTATGTACGATAATCTCTGGGATATTATGTACGATAATCTCCGGGATATTATGTACGACAATCTCCGGGATATTATGTACGACAATCTCCAGGATATTATGTACGACAATCTCCGGGATATTATGTACGACAATCTCCAGGATATTATGTACGACAATCTCCGGGATATTATGTACGACAATCTCCGGGATATTATGTACGATAATCTCCGGGATATTATGTACGACAATCTCCAGGTACATTTTACCTGTCACTCCAAGTCACGTGGTCTCTGCCCTAGTGGCGTGCTTGGCCTTAAAGTTTACATTTCGACATAAACACACAAAGACTGTAGCAAAAATAGAATTTGTTTTATTAAAAATCTCTCATCATTTGAAAATAATGAGAGATGCCCACTACAGTTGTGGGTCTGTAGGAGACTCATCACAAACGTAAATTGTATAGGTATAGAGTTTGTTGTGTTCTTGAACCCAATATAAAACAAAAATCTCTTGATATTCACATTAAACTTTGTAATTATATTTTAGCATGGCTGTAATTATAACATGCTTAACTAAATGAATTTTGGCGTTTAGTTTATAGGTCCATTATATACCTCTGTGACCTATTCCACTACCGCTCACAGAATGGTTATGGGGTCCACTACCGCTCACAGAATGATTATGGGGTCCACTACCGCTCACAGAATGGTTATGGGGTCCACTACCGCTCACAGAATGGTTATGGGGTCCACTACCGCTCACAGAATGGTTATGGGGTCCACTACCGCCCACAGAATGGTTAATGGGTCCACTACCGCTCACAGAATGGTTATGGGGTCCACTACCGGCCACAGAATGGTTATGGGGTCCACTACCGCTCACAGAATGGTTATGGGGTCCACTACCGCCCACAGAATGGTTAATGGGTCCACTACCGCCCACAGAATGGTTAATGGGTCCACTACCGCCCACAGAATGGTTATGGGGTCCACTACCGCCCACAGAATGGTTAATGGGTCCACTACCGCTCACAGAATGGTTATGGGGTCCACTACCGCCCACAGAATGGTTAATGGGTCCACTACCGCTCACAGAATGGTTATGGGGTCCACTACCGGCCACAGAATGGTTATGGGGTCCACTACCGCTCACAGAATGGTTATGGGGTCCACTACCACCCACAGAATGATTATGGGGTCCACTACCGCTCACAGAATGGTTATGGGGTCCACTACCGCCCACAGAATGGTTATGGGGTCCACTACCGCTCACAGAATGGTTATGGGGTCCACTACCGCCCACAGAATGGTTAATGGGTCCACTACCGCTCACAGAATGGTTATGGGGTCCACTACCGGCCACAGAATGGTTATGGGGTCCACTACCGCTCACAGAATGGTTATGGGGTCCACTACCGCCCACAGAATGGTTAATGGGTCCACTACCGCCCACAGAATGGTTAATGGGTCCACTACCGCCCACAGAATGGTTATGGGGTCCACTACCGCCCACAGAATGGTTAATGGGTCCACTACCGCTCACAGAATGGTTATGGGGTCCACTACCGCCCACAGAATGATTATGGGGTCCACTACCGCCCACAGAATGGTTATGGGGTCCACTACCACCCACAGAATGATTATGGGGTCCACTACCGCCCACAGAATGATTATGGGGTCCACTACCGCCCACAGAATGATTATGGGGTCCACTACCGCCCACAGAATGGTTATGGGGTCCACTACCGCCCACAGAATGGTTAATGGGTCCGCTACCGCTCACAGAATGGTTATGGGGTCCACTACCGCCCACAGAATGATTATGGGGTCCACTACCGCCCACAGAATGGTTATGGGGTCCACTACCACCCACAGAATGATTATGGGGTCCACTACCGCCCACAGAATGATTATGGGGTCCACTACCGCCCACAGAATGATTATGGGGTCCACTACCGCCCACAGAATGGTTATGGGGTCCACTACCGCCCACAGAATGGTTAATGGGTCCACTACCGCTCACAGAATGGTTATGGGGTCCACTACCGCCCACAGAATGATTATGGGGTCCACTACCGCTCACAGAATGATTATGGGGTCCACTACCGCTCACAGAATGGTTATGGGGTCCACTACCGCCCACAGAATGATTATGGGGTCCACTACCGCTCACAGAATGATTATGGGGTCCACTACCGCTCACAGAATGATTATGGGGTCCACTACCGCCCACAGAATGATTATGGGGTCCACTACCGCCCACAGAATGATTATGGGGTCCACTACCGCTCACAGAATGATTATGGGGTCCACTACCGCTCACAGAATGGTTATGGGGTCCACTACCGCCCACAGAATGATTATGGGGTCCACTACCGCTCACAGAATGATTATGGGGTCCACTACCGCTCACAGAATGATTATGGGGTCCACTACCGCTCACAGAATGATTATGGGGTCCACTACCGCTCACAGAATGGTTATGGGGTCCACTACCGGCCACAAAATGGGTATGAGATGCATAATAATTTAACAACTAAAAAAAAAATTAGTGTCTTTGCAAGAATGTACCATTTAATTATCAACAATCTGTTCTTACACAACCCATTATATATTTAATTTGTGTATGAATACGCAGGATATTTTGGTAGTAGTGTTTATTGTCGACATTTGTTATTGAATATGACCGAAATAGATCAATTATTCTAACACAATTTTATTTGTATAATTCTTAGGTACAAAAAGTTATTCTTATGTTCAAAATGAACTCATCAGTGTTCATTTTATAGTTTTATCTTGTCTGACGCTTAGAAAATACCTGCCTTAATACAAAAAAACAAATCAACTCTAACTAAACAACAAATTCACTATTTTCATAAGAGCTAAGCACTGAATCGTAGAAACATTATATTATAATTACTCTTACCAGTTTCTACACGACTCGAAGATGTGAAGTAAAGTGTCGCATGGGCCAATAAGCCTTCAGCAGTACCTTAATGCTTATTAAGGCACAAATTCTCAATTAGTTTTAAGTCTTAATTTTAAGTTTTTTCTTACATGTTGCCCGAAATGCTGTGCGTATTAGTGGTTTTAGGCATAGTATATACACTGGCTCTTTCTAGAAATCCAACATTCTGCTTGTAACTCATTTTGTATGTATATGTACTTTTACCTAAATAAAATATTATTATTATTATTATTATTATTATTATTATTATTCTATTATTATTATTATTATTATTATTATTATTATTATTATTATTATAACAAGGCTCAAAGAACATATATACATATGCTATGTAACTTTTATCATTTGTCATTAGATTATTACATCATTATCATTAGATTATCTGTTAGATTAAGGACCTGCCCGAAACGCTGCGCGTACTAGTGGCTTTACAAGATTGTAAATACTATGCTATGTATTCTCTTAAACCCAATGTACCTTCTTGTATATAAATAAATAAATAAATAAATAAAATATATATACAGAGATATCCTGACTGCCAATACAGAAATATTCCACAGATACAACTACGACAATAGCAGACTAGACACCGGTGAACCACTTCATTATATCCAACAATCTCAACCAACCATTAACAGCCAGTTGAGGGTCGTGAAGTTGTTGTTTAGTCAGGGTTGATTTATTCTTTGTAGTGAGGCAGGTATTCTCTCCCCTGATTCCATGTATGATTAACCATCCTGTGAGGTGGGAATATTAGATGAACTTATAGCAAGTTTTTGATCTACATTGTGTAATCTTTCATATAGAATAGAGTAGCAGCACATTGCTAGTTTTTTTTTTTTGCACATTGCTATGCATACTTAAGCTTGTTAATAATAATAACAAAACAGCAACAAATTAGTGGCTTTAGGTATTGTATGTACTAGCTCTATCTATAAATCCAACATTATGTTTGTAAATGTATGTACTTTTCCTGAATAAAAATGTATTTATTTATTTATTATTATTTATATTATAAAAAGTTGAGGGTGAGGCAGTCGGGCGCTTCCCGACCCTCGGTTCTCGCCGCGAATGTCAACAAACACTGGAGGCTCGTTTCGTACACCAAACGATTTCCCGAAAGTTCTTTTCTGTTTGTTAATATATATATTCTTATGCTAGTCTGTATTGGACTTAGTTGATTTGATTTAAGTTAGATTATGTAACTTATTAAACTAGGTTGAGTTAGGTTAGGTTAGGATTTAAAAAAAAAATCCTTTGGCAAATCGTCTTATGTACGATGTGAGTTGGGACTTGTACCCCAACAAACAGCCTAGACGGCCGTGCATGAGGGCCTCGAGAGGAGGTGAAGAGAGACAATTTCAGCAAGTTGAGGCCCTCCACGCATCATGAGGCAATTGAAATATTCCGAGAAGAAGCTCCTGAAGCACACTGACTTCCTCAAGTGGGAGGTAGACAACAACCTGCAGGAAGTTAAGATTATGAAGAGATATCTGATACAGAGAAGAGAAGATTACACCCTGTGAGTAGTCCCCAGACCTGGTATTGGGTCTCTGGTCCTGGTATTGGGTCTCTGAACCTGGTATTGGGTCTCTGGTCCTGGTATTGGGTCTCTGGTCCTGGTATTGGGTCTCTGGTCCTGGTATTGGGTCTCTGGTCCTGGTATTGGGTCTCTGAACCTGGTATTGGGTCTCTGGTCCTGGTATTGGGTCTCTGGTCCTGGTATTGGGTCTCTGGTCCTGGTATTGGGTCTCTGAACCTGGTATTGGGTCTCTGGTCCTGGTATTGGGTCTCTGGTCCTGGTATTGGGTCTCTGGTCCTGGTATTGGGTCTCTGGTCCTGGTATTGGGTCTCTGGTCCTGGTATTGGGTCTCTGGTCCTGGTATTGGGTCTCTGGTCCTGGTATTGGGTCTCTGGTCCTGGTATTGGGTCTCTGAACCTGGTATTGGGTCCCCAGACTCCCAGGTTAATAATTATGTTATGGGGGGGGGGTGCCAAATCGTACACAGTCATTTCAATGAAGCTGATTTTCTAATTATTTAGTTAATAATTAATGTTAAAAATTATAATTAATCTAATTATTAATGAATAATATTGTTAGCTTAGGCTGTTCTAGGTAAATTCACTTGTCTTTGAAGATCTAAGACAGCTTCACTTTTTCTTCACACACCAGGATTTTTCATACAATCCCCCAATTCACGTGTGAAAAATTGCGTGAAAAATCCTATTTTTTAACCTTCTTTAAGGGGATTGAGTGAAAAATCCTAGTCCGGCTTCGGTGGAAGCCTCAGGGGACACCCTTGTGTGTTCAGTACAACTCCAGGTTGCAATCCTTATCCATGTTGTGGTCTAGTCGTCTAGAGCGTGTGGGTGGGAACACCCATTGCATAGGTTCGAACCCTCATCATAGCTCCTACGAATTTTCTCTTTGATGCAGTCACGTTAGTGTGATTACTCTGAGTATAGGGAAAGATTTCACTCTGAGGAAGAGGAAAGGAAGAAGAAAGTTTGCAGTCTCCGTGGTGTAGTGGTAAGACACTCGCCTGGCGTTCCGCGAGCGCTATGTCATGGGTTCGTATCCTGGCCGGGGAGGATTTACTGGGCGCAATTCCTTAACTGTAGCCTCTGTTTAATGCAACAGTAAAATGTGTACTTGGATGAAAAAACGATTCTTCGCGGCAGGAGATTGTATTCCAGGGACCTGCCCGAAATGCTACGCGTACTTGTGGCTGTACAAGCATGTAACAGCTCTTGTATATATCTCAAAAAAAAAAAAAAAAAAAGAAAGGGCAGGTATCTTATTCTAGATAGCAAAATTAAATGAAATTCAAAATGACCTTGATTATAAACATTTATGTTTTGAGTTTCAACTTGATTTTTAAAATTTACAAATATCATTTCTTGTATTTATTCCAGATACAACAAGATGGCCAGAGAGACGAGAGAACTGGCAAATAAAATAAAGGATTTGGATCCCAAAGACCCATTCAGAGCAGAAGCTAGTGGAAACCTCCTTGAAAAATTGTAAGCTTCTTTGACTATTCTTATTGTAGCTTGCGTGCTGTGTCGTTTTATTATTCGTGGTTGTAAATGTTTTTATAACTCGTTCACAATTTTGCCTTGAGTCTAAATTTGCTACTTTAGTTTTGCATTCATTACAATGCAAGGTGAAGACTTCACAAGTTATTGTTACTTAATTGCATTAAAGTTGCGTAACACTTTTCAGATTGTCACTAGCAAGGCAAACATTTAGATTCAAATTAATAATTAATCTCTTTTCATTCAAAACTGCATGTATGAATGATTTTCTTACAAAACTTTTCTTAATTTATCATTTTCCTTGAATTTTTCATTTCCCTACTTAATTATACACCACCCAACATTTTTTACTATTTAATTACTGATAACATGCATTTTAAAAGTGCACACGATAACATCCTGGTCTAGAAATATGAGCCCATATGCATGGAGGGAACTGTGGGCATCCTTATGAACGTGTATGATGGTGGTTTTTGTTTTCTACGTGCTCTTACTCTTGCAAATTTGTCTGGCCTGTGGTTCTGCTTTTGCAGTAATCCCATGTCAATACTGTTGGTTGATATCCTTTTCTGCAACTCTAGTGCCTAGTTTTCATCACAGATTGTATTGCCAGCTCGGCAGTTATTCTTCAGTTTGGGAGTTAGGTGGGCCTGCGTGCTATGCCAACCCTATGCCCAACCACTTCATAGGGTTGGAGAACCCAGATGAGGCACAACCCTAGGGACCAGATGCAACCAGGCAGTGATAAGAAAAATAAACAAAACGAGTGTCCAAGGTTCCTGCAAAGGAAACGAAGCACAAAGAAATATGAGACAACGGTAGAGCGACTCTCGCTGCATGCAGGTTGCATTCAATCCCCGATCGTCCACATGTTTGGGCACATTTCCTTTCCCCTGTACCATCTCAAATCCTTATCCTCATCCCTTCCAAGTGCTATATAGTCATACTGGCTTGGTGCTTTCTTCTGAGTTCCCTTTCCTTCATTTCATCAAATGTCAATGTGCCAACCCTAGCCTGTCTGGCTTTTCATCCATTTGCTTTTGCCTGTGCCTGTGCAGTGTGGCAGTTGATACCTGCTTGACAGGGTTCTGGGAGTTCTTCTACTCATCAAGCCTGGCTCGAGGCGAGGCTTGACATGTGAGAGCTTGGCCCAACAGGATGTTGCTTGGAGCGGCCCGCAGGCCCACATATCCATCACATCCTGGTTGGTCCGGCACTTCTTGAAGAAAACTATTTAATTTTCTCTTGAAGATGTCCGCAGTTGTTTGGGCAATATTTTTTATAGTTACTGCGAGGATGTTGAGCAACCGTGGACCTCTGATGTTTATACAGTCTCTTCTGATTTTGCCTGTGGCACCCCTACTCTTCACTGGTTCTATTTTGCCCTCTATTTTCATTATAACTGCTTGAAAGTGAGCTTATTGTGCATCTCCTTGGGCTTCTTTTGACAGATTCTGACTAGGCCATGCCCTCTTGGACCATCTGCATCTGCTACCTGGGTTCCAATTTTTTTTTATGTCCATCGCCTTCTGTTTTTGGGGGCTGATAGCTACTTTAGGAAATCCATCATCCTCCCCTCCCTTCCCAATTAGGTTCAGCCTAGAGACTGAGCCTGTCGTGGATCTTTTGGCCATTCTCTCTCCTGGATTTTGAGTTGCCACTGGATGTCTCTTCTCTTGGTTCATCAGTTCATTCTCACGGTGGTTTATAATCTGAAATCATGTCCATTGCAGAGTCATCTCTGCTTTTCTTATGGCTTGGAGGGTGCTTGCTGTTCCAGTTTGTGTCCAGGGGTTTGCTTGGATGTTTTTCTCATTGTTTTGGGCTTAGTTTCCTTTGCAGGAACCTTGGACACTGATTTTGTTTATTTTTATCATTGGTTGGTTGCATCTGGTCCCTAGGGTTGTGCCCCATGTGGGTTCTCCAGCTACCCCCTTAGATCCCCTAAGGGTTTTCATCATCTCCCTTGGTTATGCACCCTAAGTCCACTAGCATGTGTCATGGTCTACTACTTTGTGAGTGTCCTGGCCTTGTTAGGCTTCTGTAGCCCTAGTTTTGGGGTGCTCTCATTAGCATTTCTTCTATTTTGTTATTTTGCTTTTGGTCCTTGCTTGGGTGTGTTCCTTGGCCTTTTGATACAATGTGCCCTGCACTGACATGTTCTGGCTTGTGGCTCCTGCACTGTCATCCTGTGTGCTATGTATTCAGCAGTTATGGATCATGTTTTTTTGTTTCCATGGAACTTTTGGCCTTTGGTTTGTGACACACTTTCCTTCTCTGGCTGTGGTTGACCAGGATTGGATTTAGGCATGCCTCGGATATGGTGCCTTGTGACTGAGTGCTTTTTTTCTGTGACCAGTGGTTATTGCTTGTCTCTTCATTTGTTATTTTCTCTTCTTGTTCATTTAGGGGAGCATACTTAATCATCACCCTGTCTTTGGTGCTTCCCCAGTCCATGTCTCCTCTTTTTTTGGCTTGCTCCTTTGGCCCCAGTCATGGCCCGCTTTTTCACTCGCTCTAGGGCTGGTTGCCTTTCTTTTTTGAGTGTACACAGGGTGTACCCTCAGGTTCTCTTGAGTGTTCTTCCATGGTGTACCAGGTGTTGCTTCTCAGGGTGTTGGTTGCCACTGTTTAACCACCTAGGCAGAATGCACGAGGAATCTTGGTCTCCACTTCCTCCTTGGTTCGTATTTGTTTGTTTTCTGGCCTTGCCCCTTTTCTTTCTGGCCTGATGTCCCTTGAAGACTTGTGCATGCTGTGCCTTTCATTTCCTGCAGTTGGAGCTGTTTTTCTGCAGTGTGGAGATCTGTGTTTGTCCCAGGGGTTTGGCAGTTTGGCTCAGGTCTGTTTTGCCCTTGACCTTTTCAATACAGCTCTCCTTTGAATGGTCTCTGGATTGGCCCTACGTGATTGTTTCTGAATCCTTTTTGTGTCGCCGCAGATTTTTACCTCGAGGATTAGCCAAATGTCTGCTCAAAGTAACATTTTTCATAGTAACTCAAAGCTGGTATTGGTATTGGTATTTCTATTGGTTTTTAAATTCTTACAAATTTTGAATTGGAAATTCATGCAAGAATTTTTTATTCAGATTAACAATGTGTTCTAGAGCATTAGAATTATTTGGATTACTGAATAAATTAGTTCAAAGGATTGAATAATGACAATTATTAAATGAAAAGGAAGTACTGTACAGTATGGTTGAATAAACTCGGAAAATATGAGAAATAAGTAGTGTAAAGGATATAGTGTTGATAGAAGAATGACTGCAGATTGTGTACAGTAAATATGCTATACACGAGAAAACTGTGTGTGTGTGTTTGGTGGTGTAATACTTTCTGATAACCTATATACATATGCACAGTAGAGGATGATGGGGAGCATTAACATTGTGGTGAAATCTTCTTTCTTAACGCTTAACATGCTCGGGGTCTAATATCCTGCCATCCGCACAGGCGCATGTCATTTTGAAAAAAAAAAAAAATTTTTTTTTTTTGCTAATCTGTTAAGTTCTGTTCACTGATCACGGGAAAAATAAAAAAAAATTCTATTGTACTTACTTTTGTTGCAATAGAGCCGAGAAGCTCGGTGATGACGTCACAATCTGCATGTTCGCTCATGCAGTACACGCCCGGGAGGTGTTGCGCGCGGTCCTCAAACAGCCAGAGTTGCCACAAATATATTTTCGCGCTATTTATTTACAATGTCTAAGCGCATTTTATCTAATTTTTTTTCACTAATTGTGTTTCAAATACTGTTTGAACATATTTTGTATCAATAATTGTTGCATATTTCAGTATACACAGGCGCACACAAATGTTTTCAATTACGGCAATATAATATGTCATTACAGTCTATTATATTGTATGTTCTGCTTATATTTGTATATATTTACACACACGCACACGCTATCTGCTTATATGTTTACATATTTACACACTCGCACACGCAATACACACTTTGAAGCACGCTTAGAAGATTTCTAGACTGTGGTAGTCATTGAAGCAGTCGACAGCACATAATGGGATACCACACGTTTCACACCATGTTTGCACAAGCTTCCGTTTCTTGTCTCTACGTGTCGTTGTTTTACACACCAAGCAATCACGTTGGGCTATTGCACGCTTCACACCAGGTGGCAAATACTTAAGTTTGTGTGCTAGGAAGCCTTCAGTGTGAGCGAGGCGTGGAGTACCAGCATGCTGCAACAGTGGGTTTATGATGGGCCACTGAATACCTGGGACATCTTTTGCAAACTTTCCTAATAACTGTATTGCAGCATCAAATACAAAGTCACGGAAAGTGGGCTTACGTCCAGTTCTCACAAGGTACATGTTGAAACAGTTCAGCATGCTCATGTCCACAAGATGGAAGAACACTTTTTTCGTCCACCTACATGTCTTCCGCACACACTCTGCAGTGCCAATCATCATGTCTGATTTATCAATCAACCGCATGTTGATATTATAGTCTAAAACACAGTCTGGCTTATATAGTGGTGCGTTTGTTTTATGGCTCACTTTCCCACTGTTCACCATTGTTCCATCATGAATTGTTGTCAACAAGTTCACCTCTCTTTTGTCTTTCCACCGAACTGACAGAATGTTATCACTTTTCCTTCTCTGACACTCACCAACTGCAATGTCGTTGTCAAACACAGGCATTTCCCTTCATTGTGGCTTTACTGTACCAACCAATCCGGTTCTATTTTCTAGCAAGAACCGAGCTAGCAAGGGACTTGTATAGTAATTATCTGTGTATAAAATGTGTCCCTTGTTCATCCACGGAGCCATGATGGTCTTCACTACACTCCCCGAGAATCCATGTTCGTCGTTACCGGGAATGTCTACATCACTAGCCGAGTACAGAATCATGTGTAACACGTATCCTGTCTCACAATCACAAAGAACAAAAAATTTCAGGCCAAATCGGTTTCGTTTTGAGGGAATGTACTGTTTGAATGGAACACGTCCCTTGAAAAGTATGAGAGATTCATCAACCACCAGCTTCTGTGCTGGTACGTAAAAATCTCTGAATTTTCCAATAACATCGTTCATGTAGTGCCTCACTCGCCACAGTCTATCATCAGGTGTTCGGTCCTGAACACTTCCAAAATGTAGACACCTGAGGAGTATCTGAAACCTGTCTCGTGACATATATTTCCCGAATAAAGGTGTTGGTATTGTCTTGTCCTTGCTCCAATAGTCATTTATTGCATGTTTGTGACAGTGCTTCATCAACAGAGTGCCAAAAACACATACATTTCCGCCACTGTGGTATTTTTCCAACGCTGCAGTCGTGAAAATTCTGTGATTTCCCTCTCAATCAGGTAAGCAGCATGCAGGTTCGTTTGGTGTACAATGTATTCCATGAGTGGTTCATCATAGAATGCTGTAAAATATTCCATCTCAGCCATGTCCTCACCTTGATTAGGGAAAAGGTTTGTAATCCCTACATCTTTATCGTCAAAGTGAGGAATATTAGGAATAAAATCGTCACCATCACTCCACTCAAGTACACCAGGCGTCCTGCGAGATGCAGAGGAAAGACGGCGAGGAAGCGATGCATACTGGCGACCAGGAGCTGAATACCGTCTGCGAGAAGCACGGCGGCTACGTGCACGTGAGGTGGGTGCACGTGAGGTGGATGCACTTGAGGTGGATGCACGTGAGGTGGATGCACGTGAACACGAGGGTCTTGGTCCCTCATGTGGTGCTATGCGGTGGCGCTTGGCCGGGCGAGATGCTGCTGACGCGACAATTTCTCGCCCAGTTACACCACTGGTACCAGCCACAGGCCCAATAAAACTTTGATCTGAGTCACTAAACTCAGAAAAGGAGTCACCTCCCTCTGACTCGTCACCCTCAAACAGAAAATATCCACAGGAACTGAGGTCGTGGTAGAATTGGGGTAGAAAATGGGCGAGGAGGCATGGGAGAGCGTATAGGCCTCGCCATGGCATGGCGGTCATTCTCACTTTCACTACTGCTGCTACTATCACCCGACAACTGTGTATAATCCTCATCGTTGTCTGAATCGTCAAACACACTTTCTTCACCTTCAGAGAATAATTCGTGGGCTATTTGCTCTGGGGTGAGGGACTGAGTGGTGCGTGCCCGTGAGGCGTTTGACCGTGCGCTCGCCATGGTGACTCTCGCTAAACTGAGGCCTCCCATGCCTTCGGATCGTGAGCGGGAATTTTTTTCAAAATGGCCGCTGTTTACTAGAGCCCCTGGGCAGTGTATGGGACCCCCAGCTACACCGCGGGCCATTCAAATCGTGCGCGGTACCCATACACTTCATATGAAGTGAAGCACAGTTGACTGGTAAAACGATTTACACTTCATATGAAGTGATGCGCACTTTAAGGGTTAAACTTTCTTTGTTATCGGGAAATATACGTGGATGGTGTGAGAATTTGTGCCTGTAATTCATCCCAATATACTTGCAAGAGAAGTACTGATGCAATTATTTAAAAATGCTAAATGTGGTTGTTACTAACTCCAAAGAAATATTTTTTTGCCTTTTAAATTTAATATTTATATTATAAACAAGTATTCAGCACTTTGCAATGACAAATTTCCTTGGAGAGTATTTTTTCATGATCAGGAAACACCACTGAGATGATAAAATGTGCACAGATTGTCACGAGTACTATACAGTTAGCTACAGATTAGGTAAGATAATTTCTTTTTTTAACTTTTTATATTATATATCAGGTACACCATGGGACTGGTTCCAACCAAGTGGAACTTGCAGTTCTGCGATCGTGTCTCGGCTTCATCGTTCTGTCGTCGACGTCTTCCATGTCTCATGGTTCGAAATAAAATGGCCCCAAATTTACGTACTGCTGTCACATTCGTCGAGCAAGGCCATGTCCGAGTTGGTGCAGAGGTTGTGAAAGACCCTGCCTTCCTTGTCACAAGGTAAGCCATATAAAATTATAAAAGTCTACCAATGCAGACTGCTACATCAGTGAAGACAAAGCCTGAAGATGGTATTGCCTTGATAACAGATTTTTCTCATATTAATGGAAACTCTGATGTGGATTTAACTTCCCCCCCTCCCCCCCTGCAAATATATTTCTAATAAAGCCAAATGGCAAGTAAATTTGGATCATGTTTAGAAGGATACATTATGTGGATGTCAAAGTTTGGGAGGGTTCACCATTTTCTTTAATTTTTGCTAGGAATAACTTTGTGATTGTTCCAGACCCCTGGAGGACTATGTGACGTGGGTAGACACCTCTGCCATCAGGAAACACGTCAAACAATACAACGAAGAAGTAAGATTCTTTATTTACAAAAACTGGCATAAATTCATATTTTACATGAGCTATTTTTTTAATGTCAACTTTAACATTGAGTTGCCTAAAAACCTTTGTTAGGTTGGATGATATTCTAGACAGGAAATCAGGACAGGATTCAAACCTGAACAATAGGTACTCCCAAGTTTTCTAGGCTCCTGACAGCTGGGTGAACAGCGCTTCAGATTCGTAGTCCTGAGGTTCTGGGTTCGATCCCTGGTGGAGGCGGAGACAAATGGGCAAAATGTTTCACCCTGACGCCCCTGTTACCTAGTAGTAAATAGGTACCTGGAAGTTACAGCTGCTATGGGCTGCATCTTGAGGGGGTGGAGGCCTGGTCGAGGACCGGGCCGCGGGGACACTAAGCCCCGAAATCATCTCAAGATAAGCAGCACACCCTAAATGGCATTATGCTACAAAAGTAATGCGACTTGGAATTCTGCTGTATCTAGGGTTCCAGAGGCACCCGATCCCAAATTGGGGTTTTTACACATTGCCCACAAACACACTGGCTATGGTAATGTGTAAAAACCCTAATTTGGGATCAGGTGCCTCTGGAACCTTAGATACAGAAGAATCCCAAGTCACATTACTTTTGTAGCATAATGCCATTTAGGGTGTGTGCTTGGGAGTACCTATTGTGCAGGTTTGAATCTTCATGGAGTCCTACTGATGTTTGCATTCAAAGCACTGCAAATTGTAATGCTTTCCCATTATTTTTCAGAGAGATGATTTTGACCTCAACAACTGTTAGTGGTTATTTCAGTTTTCTATACAAATAAAAATTATAGTTTTGTATTTTTCTTTTCTTGCAATTAGCCTAAAATGCATGTTCCTTAACCCTTTGCATCTTGTGGTGGTTGCAAAAATGTGGCCAGTTTCTTTTAACAGCTAAGACATTCAAATTTTCCTGGGTAACCACCCATTTTGGGGTTTCTCTTGTACACCTGCAGACACTACTGCCAAGGCCATTTTGATATCTATGCAGTTCTGTAAGCCAGTGGCTGGGTCGTTGAGCTAGTAGGACGGGTAATAAAGTGCATGCTCTTAAGTGACCTTTCCGCTTATTCTAAAACTTCAGTTGCATCCACTTAATGGGACAAATATAAACTTTATTTAGTCGTACACTGGGTAGAATACCGATTTTTTGGATTTTAAGGCTACAAGCGACGTACAATCCCCCAAAACCTGGGTAATCTACACCGTGTACAACCTGGTACAAAAATAAACTTGCTACACTGCCACTCCCTCCCTCGACACCACCTCACTCACCCTCATTCACCTCCCACAATACTGTTTTTGTATTTATTCACTATACACAGACGTTATATATACGTATTTACATGTTTTGTTCACCATAACTGTACATCTAAGCTTGTATGGTGAGTAAAGGCACAAAGACGTAGCTACTCACACAGCTGATCGGCGGCCGCCCTAATATTTGTCCTCCAACAATATTGTTTGTGGTGTTATTACGCTATATACACACATTATATATAAGTATCTACCTGTTTTATTCACCATACCTGTACAAATAAGCTGGTATGGTGCCCAAAGACCATAGTGGCCATCAGTAAACACCATGCCAAGTCTTGCAGACGACGCTCCTCCCTCACCAAAATGGCGGCTCCCAGCCTTCTCCTCTCGCTGTTATCTCTCACTATACACACGTTATATATAAGTATCTACATTTGTGTTCACCATAGCGAACCACTAAGCTGCTATGGTGAGTGCAGTCAATAAATGGTGGCCACACACAGAAGGCGACGCCACAACCCTCCCTCCCACAGCCTTACTCCTCCCTCCATGGAGCACAGTGCGAAATATCACCATAATCCTGCTATTATCAGAATCCTGGTCAGTTTTATCAGTCGGGGAGCTTCAGTAATACTATCACTGCTAAATAATGGCAGTATCATTTATATTATGGTATTTGTAGGCGATGCTGTGGTCACAAGCTGAACAGCGGTGCTGTGAGCTCATGCTGCATGCGCCAGCCTTGGTGGCTTGCTCAATACTGATGCTGTAACACCCAAGAATGTTGGCCTGGATTTTTTTTCTAGGTGGCATCTGGCAACTATTGGTCGTGGCTGTACTATAGCTGCCCCTATCCCAGGCGGGGCGTTTAAATTATAGCGCTAGACACGAAATCATATATAAATGATGTGCGCGGTTTCGGTTTTGTCACCGATATCATTTATATGATATGCGCGGTTTGAGGGTTAAATACTCTTAGTTGGCGCCAAAGGGGCTCCCCCCAGAAAATTCACAACTTCAAATTGCTATAAATATCATATAATATCACCAATTGTTATTTTCTTCATTATGGTCTCGGAATGGCATATAACATTCAATTGCTAGTGGGAAAATTGTTTAAGAGTATATTTTTCTGCAAAACATTTTTTGAAATGTGGCCATCCAAATAAGTGCCAAATTTATATGCAAAATATATACAACTTCAAACGTTATGGCTTTATGACTAAACGATTCACTAAGAACTTTGCACATATGTAAAAAATGGTGAGAATTGGTCAGAAGCTGAATTTTTTACTAGGTCTCAAAGTTTAAAATATTTTTTGTGGCTAAAATATATTTAAAGTTCTTGACAATGAATATAGTACTTCCAATATGTGTTGAATCTTGTAAGTTATAATTAAGATTGCTTGGCATTCGTACTCGAATATGTGAAAGTTGTAAGTCAATGTGTTAAAATGAAGTCGAGAAAAAAATACCCCCCTTCCCCCTTAAAATATATGGATACGTTAGGATGTGAATATAACTAGGAGCTGCCTCGTATGGGCCAATAGGCTTTCTGCGGTTACCTTCATTCTTATGTTCTTACATAAATTGGTAATGAGCTAAATGGATGCAACTGAAGTTTCTTAGCCTAAGCAGTTTCCCACGACCTTACTTTGCTACTAATAGATTAAAGGGGGGAAAGGTCACGTAAGGGTACACTATTACCCGTCATACCAGCCCAACAACCCAGCCAATGGCTTACAGAACGGCATAGAAATCCAAATGGCCTTGGCAGCAGTGTCTGCAGGTGTACAAGAGAAACCCCAAAATGGGTGGGTATCCAGGAAAATTTGAATGTCTTAGCTGTTAAAAGAAACTGGCCACATTTGATTTTAACCACCACAAGATGCAAAGGGTTAACTAGAATAGAACCATACGAGAGAACTAGTAAAGTAAGGATCTTTGAGCAGTTAATTCAGAGGCGATTCAGTAGTAAAGGTACACTCCTGCTTGTGCAGAAAGTGTTTGAGGGTCCACAAAATATTGTACCATGAGGACACCGCCTTCTAAAAGGTTTGCACTGGAGAAGAATGAAAGCACCCTGGAATTTATTGTCCTGTACGATTTGGTGTCAAGATGAACAATGCTAGGTAAAGCCGATGAATACTCAGGACAGCCATAGTCTAGTTAGAACACAAAGGTGTAAAAGCAGTCCAATCTCAAACTTCCTGGGGGTATGGAGGAACGAGACTAAACCGAGGACCTTTGAGTATTCAGTTCATGGGAGAGCAGCATCTACATAACTTCTTTGGGGAAGGGTACTATAGCACCTCTGGACACCAGGGGCCAAATTCTCAAAGCAGTTGTGCAACTACTTACAAACCTGTACATCTTTCTTCAATCTTTAATGGCTTTGGTTACATTTATTGAACAGTTTACAAGCATAACTTTCCAATCAACTGTTACCATTATAAACAGCCTCCTGGTGCTTTGGGGCTCATTAACCGTTACCAATAGTAAACAAAGCCGCCAAAGATTGAGGAAAGATGGAGAGGTTCGCAAGCGCTTGCATAATCGCTTCGTGAATTCGGGTCCAGAACAGCATGGCCACCCTGTCAGGAGGCCATCAGATTGTCATGGCAATTGACTAGCACTTTAGTAGAATGCTAGTCTTGCCCTACACTGACCCACCAGCAGTCATTCTGGATCAGCATACCACTAATAGACTGCATTTATCCTAGACAACACTACCTCCAGCAGTAGCCATCTTTTCAAGTTGATATCCTACAATTTAGAGGAATAGTGTTACCCTTTTTGAATATTCAGAGGCACAAACACTAAAATCCTGTGAAAGTGTTTGGAATACCTAAGCTCACTTTAACAAATCCACAAGGGCAGTGACGAGGGTTCAAACCGACGTGTAAGCTCATGTGAAGCTTTCACAAGTAAACCTAAGCTCACTTATTTGCAGCCCGTCCTCCAAACAAAGATCCAAAAGTGATTCCATGCACCCGCCAAACCCCTTTTTTATGAATGAAAAACGGTTTACACACGACTTACAACTGCTGACGTTCGAACATATCCAGAACAAGTGCTCCACTGACTAATTTTGTTCGAATCACAACGCTATAAGTGCTTCACCCACGTACTATAAATACAAATAATCGCCAACAGAACCTAAACACCTAACCTATCCTATGCCTATATATACACAATATGCTATTATAATAATTGATACCCGAGAAAATTCCCGTATTGAATAAACAGCATGTTAAAATTTATGAATGCGTCTGTGGGGTCGACCGCTGAATGTAATGGACTCGAGTCGAGGACGGGTTGCTTATTTGTGTAGTGTTTTCAAACAGTCTACCAATGCCAATTTTTAAAGTAAATCTAATTAAGCCACAAGTTAATGGGCTAGTAAAAAAATCAATTTTAACAGGTTTTATTTACAGGTTAACATTATAAACATTAAAACTATGCTTCAATTGTATGAGATTTGAGAGCTTCATGGACCACCAGGAGCAGCACGAGCAATTAGGTGGGGGTCACCAAAGGCATCGTTGTCACAGTCCAAGTGGCTGGTAGGGAGTGCAGCACCCCTCATGATTAACTTTGTGATGAGAATAGTACTGTCGTTCCTTCCTAAAAAGATGTAGTGGTCTGCCAGCTGTGGGAACTTTTGGCCTGGTGGTCTTACATGCTGGGCCCATAACACGTTTGCGGGACATTCTTCACTGAAGATGCGAAGCTTTTGTCCTGAAGCAAGAAATTTAATAAGTTACATGAAAAATTTATCTAGTATTAGTAAATGGATATTTAGGAAATAAAAGATTTTGCATAGTCTTACCTACTAATTTGTAAGCCAATGGGAAAACATTGTGCTTTATTGCCATAACGATTGTTGAACCACTGGCTTCATTGCCAGCATAAAAAGCTATTAAATCAGCTGGGGCAGCAAGGTCGTGTCTGTCAACGCACGTCACCGTTTTCGTCCTCAAGTTAACCTCGTATAGCTTTAAGGGAAAAAGAAAATGTCAAAAAGTACATGATTATGTAAGTTATCAAGCACTAGTTTTGCACAAATTAGACTACAGGAAGTAAAGAGAAAATATTAAATGACCATTCACCAAACTAAAAAGTTTAATTATCGTTGCCAATACTGTATTAGTACACCAAATGCATGTCTGGGAGGAAAGTATAATGTCTACAGGCAGCTAGATCTTTATCAAGGTTTCCCCCCCCCCCCAACATGCCAGTTAAGGCTCATTACAGTCACATGTATACTGTATTGGGGGAGGGGGGGCTATAAATCCTAGGATACAGACAGACTACCAGCCTTGAAAATACCCCCATGCTTTACAAGAAAAATCCCATATAGTGCATGCATATACATAAAACTTTCAAACCTCCAAGTCATATTGCTGCTGTGTGCACATTTCTCTTCTGACAACCAAGACGAGGAAGATGCTCCCCGCTTGCTCAAACATAACCGCGTCCAAGAGGTGGGAAGGAAACTCCAAGGCCTCTCCAAAGACCCCATCAACCATCAGCTTGCCCAAGCTGCCACTTGCCCAGAACATTATTATTCTTCCCCCCACTTTTACCGTAACTGCGATGCCTGGGGTAGCCAAATTACAAGTAAGATGTCTGGCAGTTTAAACCATTATAAATTAAAAATTTCTCAATGTATTTCATAAAGTATAGAATGTTGGCCAATCTTAGATAAATCAAACTAGTTTAAGTATTTACCAAAATTTAAGATTGCCTAGTATGTAAATTTTCAGTAAATCTCCAGCAATTTAGAGACCAAGAATCATGCACTAGAATTTTTTTAATTCCTTACAAATACAGTAACAATACATTAATAAAAAATTTCAACCTTACCCACATAGCCAGGCAAAATGTCAACCTGAGTAAAGTATTCCGTGGTAGGGTCAAGTCTGTAGACTACTGTATTCTCCAGTGTGTGGATGAAGAGGGCCACTGAACCACCATCCAAGGTAACAGCAGACATGCCTTCTCCAGCAACCAGCTCTTGGTGCACCTATAATAAGAGGAATTAAGTTCCTAGACAATCTTTCTACAAACCTTAATTCAAAGCTCGTGCAATGTTCATGCTAGAAACCGAGTTGTACTAAACTTCACACAAACAGCACTTGCCATAAAAAACTTCATACCTGAATAGAGCCTTCTTCCAGCTTCCACACAAGGCTGTTTTTCCTGGTGCAGTTATTTCCAGCCTCTGACCCAACCATGGCCAGTAGCACCTAAAATACAGTATAGAGTTTTAATTAAAATTTTAGCGCAAAGTATTCAGTGTTAAGAAAACCAGGCGAGTATACTTGCCTTGTTAGTGCCTTCCAGGTAGAGCCACTGGTGAGCATTTCCAGTCTCCGGGATGACACTCTTCTGCACCAGACCCACAGTGGTCGGGTCAAACGTGTACAGCACAGAGTCGCACATTCCTTCCCACGTCATCACCACGCAGGTTACGTTGAACGTCTGTAGTTTAGATTTTTGTTTAATTCCCCTCATTCAATTCAAGAACACTAAATAAAACTGACGAGACCAAATAGCTACCATACCTGGAAGGAGGTAGAGGAACGAGTGTTGTGGGGCATTTGTAGCTCTCCTACAGTAAGGAAATAGTCTCCTTCATAAACTGTACTCTGCAGTTGCTCATATATAGCAGTAATTGGCTCGCATACATCTCCATATTCCTTCTATAAAGAAAATTTATGCTAATTTATACACTTGTACACGTTCATTATATAATATACAAAATTACACACTAGATTGGCTGGGCACCTTTCCGTCACCGTCCTTATATGCAAACTTACCAACTATCAAATTACAAACCTTTAATTGTTCAGTTTTATTGCTGTACTGAGCGAGTATGTGTGTCGTCTCTCTGTACAAGTCATCCACGCTGATCTGGCCAATTTGTCCAACAACTATCAGTCCTTGCTATTGGAGAAACAAAACAACAAGACTTAAGATTTTCACTAAAGATATTTCAACACCAAATTAAACTTTTGTTATGTCTTACCATAAAGATGACGCGAGCACTAAACACTAGTCTGCCTGTTATAGTAGTTTCCTGGTCCACATACCAGGCGTTGTGGTACAGATCAGAAAGGTAGATTCCGTTGATTATTCCCGTAGTGCTTTGGAGGCTGGCCACGGTCAATGGCCCGTTGAAGACTACCACACCTATTTATGGCATCAAAGACAAGATGGGCAATTACTAATAGGCAAGTCAAGACAGCCAGTGAACAACATTTCATTAAATTTGGACCGAATTATTTAAACCTATCCTTTCCGCCCCTCCACAATTTTTTATAGTTTGACCATTGACCTAGTTTAATATTAATTCTTACTAGTAAGAGTAATAACCTAAAAGTATTAAACAGGCATTACCTTCAATGGTGGCAGTGTCATCTAGAGCGATCACTTGTTGGGAAAGTTTCACCTTAACAGTGGTGCCCGTCGACCCTGTCACCTCAACGTTCCCAGACACCTCCACGGCACCACTGAAGGTCACCAGACCCGTCACTACCTGTCCACTCCCGTTCTGAAGTTAACAATTACGAGAAGAATTTAGACGTTACAAGATCCATGTCATTTTCTAACCTTAAATATAAAAAAGGGCCTCAAACCTTTATATTCTAGTACCAAGTGCTAACTACTTACCGTCATGGTTCCTCTGACTGCGTCTGGGAGATTCCAGTTGTTGACTTTGCCAGCCACCATGACGTTGCCAGTAGTCACGTTACTGAAGGAGGCATTGACCGGTATAGTCTGGTTGGTGCTGGTTGTGAGGTAGTCTGTGTCCAGCACCAAACTGTTCAGCCTCTCGGTTCTCAAGTTACCGCTCACAGTTACCACATCTGTGAACACCTGCAGCAGCCAACAACAAATGTTACTACAGTACTGCACTTTTAGAGCAGACTTCAGTTACCACCAGAACAAAGGAGCACACTAGTCAAGAATAAAAATATTCTAGTTTTAGTAACCAATGTGTATTAGCCCCAAATAAATTTGGGGTACAAGTTATGCAGAACTGCAGATTGATATAAAATAATATTTGTATTAATTTTCTTCATCAATCATGCTTACAATATTGCAACTGGTGGCATTTTAAGTACAAACTTCCCGTTCCTAATTTATCATTTATATACACGATACCATTCAACTTTATTTGCATCGTGCTTGTAAAGTTAGTCACCCAATTTTATTAATGCAATAATAGTAATCCATCTTAAAGCAGCAAAATTTAAAGCGGGTTTCTCCTCTAATGATGTAATTTAGATCTATTAAAATATAAAGCACGTAATTAAAAATTTGTGCAGTCTTGCATTAGAGCAGAGCTTGCTTCGCCCATTTTTTGTAACTCCTGCTAGTGCGTGGCAACTTTTATACTGCAGAGAAAAAGTCTTAGAGAAATAGGTAAACATGCTAGTGAGGACTGCCAAACTTCAAAAGAGTACACACCAGGTAGACCAAGTACCTGTACGTACCAGGGAGGAGTTTATGGTCTGGTCGCCCGTCAGGTGCACAGCGCTCGCCAGGAACGAGCTGTAGTCTATGCCATCAATTGTTCCCTGAGGAAGTAGATTAAGGAAATTACAATTATTGCTCCACAACAGGCTGCTCTTTTTTTATAGCCACTCAGACTTTTTCATAAGTGTCTAGTCTGCGACTGAAGCCATCTAGTGATCCCATGTCTATTACAAGTGGTTACTGCTAATATCAAACTTTAATCGCTCATTGAGGTATTCAACAGTAAACCGGAACTTGCCTGCAAGACGAGTGTGGATGATGTTACAGCTGATGCTGCCAGTGTGCTGGACACGCTCGCCAAGGTCAAGTGTGCGGGGGAATTCTTTAGTACTAAGTGAGCCAAATATTCATCAAAATTAACCATATTTAGGAAACCGACTTTGATGTTCCTGAAGGTGATTGTGGAGGCTGCGGCAGCCGTGAAGGTCTTTGTACCGGTGACAGCGACGTTGGTGGTGTCTAGCTTCCTTATGGCGTCTCGCAGCAACTCTTGAACGTTGAGAGCGTTAAGAGCCCCCCTGATCTTAAAGTCAGTTACATTTACTACATCGTGGAAGTTCACCGTGCCTGTAGTAAATAAATTATAGTTTATGGTAGTAGTTTAGTTTGTAGCATCGTTGAAGACTATGTAGATAAACATCGAGCTGCCTTAATGTTTGGAAACCTTAATGTTATTTTAGAGTAAACTTTAAGAGTACCTATGAATTAATTTATAGCAGGTTTCCGGCTACAAATTTTACTCCAGAAAGGGCAAGTTCAAAATCAGTTTCAGGATACCATTTTAACATGTGGCCAGAAACCTTACCAACTAAACTGTCTTCCCCTCGCCGTAGTGTGTTGGTGACAAGCTTCTTTAGGTCCACGTTACAGACCAGTCCCACAAGATGAACCATCTGCTGAGCGCGTATGTTGTTAAAGTAGTAGGCTGCAGTGAGGACCTGATCGGTGTGGAGGGTGAAGAGGCTGGTAGCCAGGTCGATTCTGTTTGTAGTGAGCGTGTGTACGTCTCCCTTCACAGTGATCCCGCTCTGGAAGGTTTTCTTTCCTGCAAAGTTTTGAAAGATATGGTAGACATTTAATGTACACTTTGTCTGCCATTTACTTTTGAAGGTGCAACTCAAAAGAACCAACATCTTTCTAAAAGTGGGGACAGTAAAATTTCACAAGAATTTAATACGGAAGCTATAACCATTTAACCCATACCAAAAAATCCAGAAATGCCTAGTTGGTGTGACAATTTCGACAAGCCGTCTTCACAAACTGAAGGGAACAATTTGTGGGAAGAAAACCACTAGTCTTTCAATTTCATAGGATCTGGGTTTTGTAATCTTGCCATAGCTTTAAGAGGAATTGGGGTTGAGGTGAGGAGAGTACGCTTAGGAAATTAGATTATTATCGTAAATTAGGTACACAAGGCGTGCAAATCTTTAGTTCAGTTAGATCACTTCATGTATTGGTAAAGGTGTGATAGTTCGAGCCAGGTGCCACCATTCTTTTCCGTTCTTTATATACAACCCCCCCCCCCTCCCCCAATAAAGTTATGTTTTTAGTAGTTATCAACTAGAAATATTCACTTTTAACAACCCATTTAAACCAACAGACTGACCTGTTATGATCTGGAGAGCGGTAGTGTCTTTGTACACCGCGTCGGCTGCAAACTCTCTAAGGTCGATACCGTTGACGAGGCCGCCCACCGTCACGTTGTCCAGCAGTGCCAGGTCACCCCAGGTGATCCACCCACTCAGGAAATTATCAGATGCCAAGTGAACAGCATTTGCGTTAATGTCACTGATATTTAACCCATTAGCACCAGCTAGGTTGCTGGTGGTGACAGATTGGTCAACATTGAGATTAGTAAAGATCACCGTGCCAGATATCGTCGAAGACACGTTATCTGTGACTATGTTCTCTTTCAACTGCTGAATGTTAAAGCCATTTATGTACACTGCCGACAAAGAGCCAAGTATAGTCACTTTTCCCTCTACGTTTAATGTGCCATTAAAACTGTCGGCAGAATTCAGCTTCACTCTTCTTTTCGCCAGCTCAGAGATGTCTACCGTATTCACTGTGGCCCCCTCAGACATGTCTATGGCGTGTGCCTTCACGGCGCCAAATGTTGCAGACTTTAGGGTCTGAGGCGCGCTGAAGTTCTGCACTCCGCTCCTCGTTACAGCATTGAGGAAGTTTACGTTATTTATTTTTCCCGATACATCCAAACTTGCGGCAGAGACTGGGTTTCTGAACACCAACTTGCCTCGCACCACCTGGTCGGACTTGTTAAGATAGAGAGCAGAGGCTGCCAGCCCGGCCACGTCCACACCACCTATAGCGCCGGTCACTCTTAGCGAATCAAATTGAACGTCAGTTTTAAATATTAAATTACCAGTAATATTGAAATCCCTGGCCGTAGTCACCAAGTTTTCAAACATTTCGCCATTAAACGTACTTTTGAAAACTGCATTTGAGAGATTCAGAGAAAGCGCAAAGCGAGTGCTTCCAGAAATCTCTAGGGAGGTTCCGTCAGTATATACGACGTCCGCAGCAAGCTCCGCGAAGTTCAGGTCGTTCACCTTCCCAGCACACTGCACCGACGAGGCATACACGGGTTTCATGAATTCTACGTCGAACCTCCAGTCCGTTAAATGAGAGAGAGACGGCCCTTTAGTTAGGGTATTCAAATTAACGCCCCCAATTATGGCCGAAGTGATGTCCAAATTGCCTTTTATATCAACGCCTTGAGCAAATATCTTCCTGCCAGAGATTTGCTGCACCGTGTCTAGTGTTACGAGCCGAGATACATTTAAACCATCCACGGTTGCTCCTCCACTCACTGTTACCGAACCAAATTGCAGACTAGAGAACCTCTTTGCACCAAAGCGTAGAGTGGAATCTGTCCGAAGGGGAAAGCGAGATGGGAAACCGTCTCCGTTGATGTGGCCAGTCACAGTCAGATCTTTGTTTACAGTTAGTGTTGAAGGAACTATCAAGTTTCCAGTCATTGTTGCCGTGCGATCTTTGAACACTGTAGTAGACATGAAGTTATCTACGTTGATCCCCATTATCTCTGTTGCTTTAAGGTTGCTTACGGAGACTGTGTTTAGGAAGGCCAGAGACCCTGCCAGCGTCCCGCCGCTCTTCTTTAAAGTGTTCTTAAAGATACTCAGGTCCATTCCATTCACCATGTTGCTCAACACTTGCACATTATTTTTCACCATCAAACCCTTCGATAATGTACAGTGCCCTGGAAATTTAAAAAGTGTCATTACATTATAGCCAAGTATTAATTAAATTATTAAAGTTCATCCTCGGCATGTCTCACCTAGTACAGCCTCGCCAGAGAGAAGGACGACATTCTTTGACAGATCTATCCCGGCCACAGTGCTGCCCTCCTTCACCGCGATGGTGCCAGCCACCAGGGTAGAGAAAGTTGCGCCAGCTATAGTCTGGCGGCCGTCGAGGGTTACCAGGTCGCTCACGGGAATGTCATCCAAATGCGGCGTGTACAGTGTGTTTATGTACAGGCCATTTGTGAAGGTTTTCCGTCCAGCGACCTTCACAGACTCGTTCCGCCTGAAGGAAAAAAAAAGCAAAAAAAATCATACGTAAAACAGTCTCGACCCCGCACTATTCACTCTTATTACGTTGTAACTTACTTGACAATGTTTCCAAACACGCTGTGTATTGGGACGCGGCCGCCAGAACCATCCAGCATCTGTTCAACGTCGAGGCTAAAGACCGATAGGGTGTCTAGATGAAGGTCTGCGCCCAACAGTGTCTTATAGCCACCCACTACCCGTGACGACCCAGAAGCTGGAACAGCGTCTGTGGGCAAAGGAAGAGTTTGAATTAAAACACAAAATTCAGAGTGCGCCATTACGATAGATTTTGTTTCATTGTATATTTAAGGATGATAAAGAGTTGTAATTAATGTATCATGTGTGTATTATCTGCTGATTAGACCTGACCGAATGTAAAATTGTCAAATTTATTCGCACACCTCCGTCACTGATGGAGTGCGAAAGGATACGTGAATTTAGGGAATTCTATAACAAATGCTAGATATTTTTTTAGTATTTCATTCAAAATGATCTTACCAGATATCTTCGCCTTACAAGTGATTGTAACCTATCCACCGCTGCCCACTGGATTGGGGGGGGGGGGGGGGAAAGAGGTCGGTGTGTAGGACAAACATCAATTGTGACATTAGCTCTCCACATGTCTTGCTTAATTTAGAAACTGAAGTTGTGGTTGGTCTCTAGCCCATTGTCTATGCGATCATGCAACCCGTTCTCGCAAATTCGTAAAGTCAATATTGACTTATTAACTACGTGCATAGGTGATATACTAAACATAATAGATACCCTTAAAAAGATTCATAGAAAACACAGACCTTACCTAACCTTGTTAGTATCTTAAGATAAGCATCCTATTGCTTCGTAATTACAATTATTACTTAACCTATACCTATTATCTTATATCTTGTCCTATTACCTATATTATACCTATCCTATATTAACCTATACCTATTATCATGAACTAGTTACAACATTCAATGCACATAAAGATTGTAACTTTGCTAAATGAATTGTGGGGCACGGGCCTTTAGCCTCTCAACCCGTCCACAGCATGGGTATTGGGGTGCATAATAAATGCACTATATCTAAAATCAAGAAATTTTTAAAAGTTAGTTTTAGAATCCCTACAATCTTTTCTACAGTTACCCGACAAGACAAACTGACCATCTAGAGTAGAGCCGATCATTATCATCTCTGAAGAGATCTGTCCCAGCACTCCATTGTAGTGACCCAGAGATACCAAGTGGTCTTTATAGGTGCTGTAACTAGCACCATCCATCTCTGTGCCCCTCAGACCCATACTCTGGGCCTCCAGGTGCGTAGTGTTGAACACCTGAGGGGTAAGGCGAGACATTAAATTATGTACACAAGAGGCCAAATTAAGTGAACCATTGCACCTGCTACAAACTAACCATCCGGCGATTTCACATATCGGTATAAACAAAGATTACGTTAAGGAGTAGCAATAACTACTATTTGCCCCCCCCCCCACTAATTAAAACTAGGAGCACTAACCCCCAGGACATCCATGCCACTGTGGAGCGTAACAGAGCCATCTATAACAATGGAGCCAGAGCTTGTACCAGCACTGCCACAATCTACACTATTAGCCAGGCTCCTCGCTGCTGCTTCCACCACAGAAGTCTGTTGGTTGTGTTTCATCTGAAGTCACAAAAATGACCCACATTAGGAGAGCACGAACTGTGGTAAGCATATCAATTATCAGAACTTAAGATTTATCCATTGACAAGCAAAAAACACGTTCAGAATGTTGAAGAAAAAAAAACAGTGGAGGAAAAATGAACTGGTCTCGCCTGTAGGTTATTCATGGTGTCGTGGACGATTTTGTTTTCCATTATTACAGGGTCGAGTAGAGGAACTAGTGCAGTCTTTACGTCCAGGGTCGTGACGCCGCTCCGGCCCTGCACCACCACCTGGAGCAGACAACAGCCTCGCCGAACATTAGAGAAATTATAAAATATCTTTGTGAATCTCTTAGCCCGAAACCACTTTTATACTAGCCGTTTATTACAATTTAAGACTACTCCATTGCCACCACATTTGGCAGAAAGTTCCTCACCTGCACGGGCTGGCCTCTAGCACTCTCGTAGCCGCGCTCCCAGCTGACGACGCTCATGTCCAGGGTGGTCGTGTACCCCTGAAACAGTCCGAAGTAGAAATCAGATTACATTATTGGCTTTAAGAAAATCCCCTATATGATTTTTATTCAATTATACCCATATTGAGGTCTTGTCTGAACGAGGTTGGAGGCCAAGTGGAGTGGCCGCGCGCAACTTGTCATGGTTGTCCGATTGTATGGCGGGTCAAAAACAGGGCCAGGGTCAGCCTCCTCCACGCCCCTTTAAGTAGGACGGCTCTTATTGCCACAACCAACGACTGTAGTATAAAATGGGAGGAGGGGGGGGCCAAACCCACAACATTTTACGTATGTGAACAAAAATAAAGTTTTTGCAACAAAATAATAGTAAAAGTAATTGGTTACGCCAAACAATTGCTGGGCACATGTTGCAGGTTCAAATAGAGAACAGGAAGGAAACCTGGACCCGCCGGGTACCTCATCCAGTTAATAGCAAAAGAAAAGTACGTACACACAAAATCATACTTACCACCTGCATAGCCCGAGCCGTCCCATTCCATACATAGGCCACCAAGAGGGCGTCTTGTCCAGTCAAGAGTACCACCTCGTCCCGACACGACGGTATCTGCAGGCAATGTTTTGTAAAATTAATATCAAGAGCGTTCAAGTAAAAAATTATCAAGTGAAGGCACCACACTGATTATGTAGCACCATAAAGCGTTCAAAGCCGATATAATTTAGGTAATACACAATACTATTTACTTACGTTCACAGGCAAAAATGAATTGAAGGTGGAAAGTCCATGAGACGGGAAGATCTCTCCCCTCGCCTGATAGTGCGCGCCTCTCAGCACGAAGAGCTTTGCCATAGAGGCAGTCACTACCAATAGCTGATGTTCCAGGCCGGAGCTGAAGGTGGTCCAGGATGCGATTGTGTCTGAAAACGTCACCTTCTGCACTACCTTCATTTGAAACTCTCTCCAAGAGTTCTCCTGTATTAGGAAGGCAACAAAATAAAGATACTCGTTAAATTTTTAAGTGTTAATACAGTAGATTCGTGTATCGCTATTATACGTACAATATTTTATCCTTTATGGGATTTAAGCATTTATCAGTTTTGTAGTGGCTTAAAACCAGACGTCTAGAGTTTTAAGAACGGCAAGGTGAAAGTAAAAAGCATTTAATACCTTCATTTCGTGTAGTAGCAGCTGCCTGTCTTGCAGAACGCCTACCAGCACCCGCCTCCCAGCTTGCCAAGTTTTCATTTCAGTCCCTGAAGCCACCCACGACTGTCCCAGTCTGAAACCACCAAATAATTACTGTCCACCTTTAGGAAATATACCGAAGATCTTCAAAAAAACTATTGGATAACCAGGTTCCTACCAAAATATCGTTTAAGATTTTAACCGGGTCTCCCCCATACTCACCCGATAGATATGGTAACATTTTCTGTAGTGCTGACTGTGATCTCCCGATACTCTTGGTTTAGCTGTCCAGCGCTGAAGATTACGAGAAACCTTAGCTGCTTTAATGTACCGAAGAAGTTCACCAGAACCTCGCCATACCCCAGATGAGTCACATTTTTGTTTCCTGTGATGAAACTTATGGACTGGGCTCCCTCTGCGTCCTAAAGGAAAATAACCAAAGTGTTTAGAACTACAGGTACAAAACTATGCAGCTTTTCGTTTTAACCAAAGTTACACGGAAGGGTAATGAATTTGTGACAAAACTACGTGAAAATCATTCATACATTTAAATTAGTATTGGCGAATTTCATCGAACTAGTTAAGTTTTAACAACTACAAATTACTAGAAGTGAAGCCATGCAGTTACTTCAGTACCCCCCTATAACACGGCGATCAGAAAATGGCAGAGGAGCAAACTGAAGGCAACCGACCAGCGTAAGAAACATTACGCGATTAAAATTACTACACAGGAGATGCAGTTCTTTTAGACATGCTGCCAAGAAATAATACCTGCAACTCTAGATATCCCTGTTCAATGCAGTCTTTTATATCCAAGACCTCATAGGTGCCACCTTTGGGCCAAATGTTTAAATTATTGCATAGGTTATATCGAGCAGACTATAAAATACTGGGGGGGGGGGAATAAAAAATTAGCAAGTTTTACTGGCAGTAGTAAGGATAAATCAAATTAAGTCTTGTACGCATAACTGGAATTCAAATTATCAACAAGCACACAGGTACTACACCAGACAACACCCGTCCTACTACCAAAACTGGACGAATCACTTCCTAAACGACACACCCTGGACGCAAACACAGTGGCCTCCTTACCAGAGCCTCGGATATTAACACCAAGTAAAGCATCCAGCACTTCCACTAACACGATAACATCATCAATATTTGCCAACATCCAGGGTATAAAAACACGCAGATCCAATAAAGTTCACTTTATAAATGGTCTCCTTCATGAGGCAAATGCAGCCCTAACAGAAACCCACACAAAGGACTACCATGATGGTGAAATATGGATCTCTGAGTACAATCTTTTCAGATGCGATAGGAAACACCGGCTTCAGGGTGGGGTCAGCCTCTACATCAAAGACACTCATCTGTACTGAGCTGCTAAACACCTCAAATGATATTGTGGAAGTGCTGATAATCAAAAGAGATTTTAAGATGTAGTTATTGTCCTTTTATATAAGTCACCGGAGGCAAACCCTCAGCAGTTTAAAGACCAACTAATGAAAATAGAACACTGCTTGGAAAACTTCCCAAATCCAGCTCCGAACATCATCCTGCTTGGGGACTTGAACCTACGGCACCTGAAATGGAAGCACCTGGCTAATACAGTAATATCAGAAAGAATACCATGAAGTAGCCTAAATGAACAGGAACATGCAAATGACCTGCTACGGATGTGCGACAGGTTTGCCTTAAACCAGCAAATAGTAGAACCAACTAGGAAGGAGAACACGCTGGACCTCATTTTCACTAATAATGTTGAACATATTCCCGGTGGAGGAGATTTCAGCAAATTCAACTTCAATAATAAACAGATAAACTGGGAGCAAATAAACCAGGACTTTACAGAAATAAACTGGGAAGAACAGCTAGAAAATGCAAACCTGAACCAGTGCCTGGAAAAAATAAGCTCAGTAGCACTAGAAATATGTTCAAACCGCATACCTCTAAGAAAAAAGAGGAAGAGATGCAGATTGGAACGGGAACGTCGTTCCCTATATAGGCGAAGAAAACGAATCGCAGAACAACTTGAGTCGCACCCTATCTCAAGAACGCCGAAGAAGGTTAGGTAGAGAAATAGAAACAATTGAACGGAAGCTACAAGAATCATACAAAACTCAGGAGAGGCAAAGAGCAAAAGGCCATCAGTGAAAGAAATCCGAAATATTTCTATGCAAAATCAAGACCAAAAAACCACATCTAGTATCGGGCCCCTGCGAAAGGGAGATGGAACTTTCACCGATGACAACAAAGAAATGAGCGAGCTACTGAGGAAGCAGTACGACTGTTTTCAGTGAGCCATTAAACACACTAAAGATTTATAACCCAAATGAATTTTTCATGGATACGATACCAACATCAAATCATATATCAGACGTCACCCTATCCCCACTGGATTTTGAAGAAGCCATAAACAGTATGCCTATGCACTCTGCACCAGGCCCGGATTCTTGGAACTCTATATTCATGAAGAACTGTAAAAAACACTATCGCAGGCCCTCCACATTCTGTGGAGACAAAGCCTAGATACTGGCGTTATTCCTGATATACTAAAAAACAGCAGAGATAGCACCACTTCATAAAGGAGGAAATAAGGCAGAGGCAAAAAATTACAGACCGATAGCGCTAACATCGCACATCATAAAAATTTGAGAGAGTGCTAAGAAGTAGGATCACAAAATACATGGAATCACAGCAACTCCATAACCCCGGACAACATGGTTTCAGAACAGGGCGCTCTTGCCTGTCGCAGTTGCTGGACCACTATGACATGGCATTAGATGCTATGGAAGACAAACAAAACGCTGATGTAATTTACACAGATTTCGCAAAAGCTTTTGATAAATGTGACCATGGTGTTATTGCACATAAAATGCGTTCAAAAGGAATTACCGGAAAAATAGGCAGATGGATCTACAATTTCCTGACCAACAGAACCCAATGTGTAATAGTCAACAAAATAAAATCCAGCCCATCAACCGTGAAGAGCTCAGTCCCCCAGGGTACTGTGCTTGCTCCAGTACTTTCTCATCCTCATATTGGACATACACAAGAACACAACCTATAGCACTATCATCCTTTGCAGATGACACTAGGATCTTCATGAGAGTAGGCAACAGAGGACACGGCGAACCTCCAGTCAGATGTAGATCAGGTCTTTCTATGGGCTACAGAAAATAATATGGTGTTTAACGAAGATAAGTTCCAGCTCATGCGCTATGGAAAAAATGAAAATATAAAAACGGAAACCACGTACAAAACTCAGGCAAATCATAACAGAACGAAAAGGCAATGTAAAGGATCTGGGTGTACTCATGTCGGAAGACCTTACCTTTAAAGAACACAATAAAGTAGCCGTCACAACTGCAAGAAAAATGACAGGTTGGGTAACAAGAACTTTTCACACTAGAGATGCTATACCGATGATACTTTTCAAAACGCTTGTGCTCTCTAGAGTGGAGTACTGCTGCACAATGACAGCACCTTTCAAAGCTAGAGAAATTGCTGACCTGGAGAGCGTGCAGAGATCCTTTACTGCTAGAATCCACTCTGTAAAACGTCTAAACTATTGGGACCGACTAAAGAGCTTAAAACTGTACTCCCTTGAGCGCAGGCGGGAGAGGTACATAATAATTTACACGTGGAAAATATTAGAGGGGCTGGTCCCAAACCTGCACACAGAAATAACATCACACGAGACCAGAAGACATGGCAGGATGTGCAGAATACCCCCGTTGAAAAACAGGTGCAACAGGTACTCAGAGAACTATCAACATCAGAGGCCCGAGACTGTTCAACACGCTTCCACTACACATAAGGGGCATAACTGGCCGACCCCTCACAGTGTTCAAGAGAGAACTGGATAAGCACCTCCAAAGGATACCTGATCAACCAGGCTGTGACTCATACGTCAGGCTGCGAGCAGCCGCGTCCAACAGCCTGGTTGATCAGTCCGGCAACCAGGAGGCCTGGTCGACGACCGGGCCGCGGGGACGCTAAGCCCCGGAAGCACCTCAAGGTGCTACTAATCCATGGTCAATATGTATGAACATTTCATGCACTCTGCATCTTTATCCAATTAAATAATTTCCTTTAGCATGTGCCTAGCGCTTAGTCCGACGAGGGAGTTCCGAAAAACTAGCCCACACGTTTCACCAGAAAACACGAGCTTTTGAATTTTATGATAGTCCCAAAATAAGGAAGACCATTTGTTCTATCAAACCAACTCGACAATTTTAAAAGTATATATTATAGCTTGTCTAGTCTAACATTTAAATGTGTAGCCATTGTAATTAGTATGACGTTCCGTATAAGGTGTAAACCAAGTCCAAAGTTTTAGCATACTTCGATCGTTTTTAGTATTTGAAAATACCAAAATATCACGGGTGACTGGATGCTCTTGTTACAAGTGTTCCTTACTCCGTCACCATTACTCTTACACTTTAATGTGATTAGTTGGTAAATTAAAATTTGCCAAATCTTTCTCTTATATAACAAATCTTCTTAATAATGTAACCAGTACAGAACATTATATAATATCCATCCTATCTTCAAACTACCGTAAAACTTGCTCATTCCAGCAAACCTATATTTCCGCTAGGACTAATTTAACCGCTACTGAGGCTAGCTGCATTGGTATGCGTACACCATTAGATATACAAAAAATTGCCACCATTAAGTATTTCAGAAAAAATCTAACCCCTATATGGTATAGACATTCACTTTACTTTTAATGCTCCAAATGTTCACAATACCGCGGCGCTGTGTTCCCGGACCTGTGGAGGGGTGTTTAACAGCTACCACGACTCTGGTAATCAATACATTTACTTACGATCTTTAAGAAAGAGACAGTCTTGTCCTTGGCGGTAACTAGGACTTGCTGTAGCGTTTTAGAGTCCGGTATGCTGTCCAGGTGGTACTCTAGCCCAACTGCTGCGTCCAGCTCTAGGGGATGATTACCTGCCACAACACAAGTTTACCGTTAGTCAAATTGTTAAGCTTAAATGTACAATACATTTGATCAATAAAGCAATCAAATTTAGTCCCCACGAGGACCAAGGAAGTACTCACTTCCTGCTTGACAGGTTACGTGAGAGGTTTCTTTGCCACATTTTACACAGGTGTCTCCTGGATGGCCTTCAGACCGCTTACACAGACACCCGCCAGGGGAGCAGCACGCACAGTTCTACGAAAAATCACGATTTACAAAATTGTAAAATTTACATTTATTCGCCATTAGGCAAGTTCAAAGAGTAAAACTGTACAGAGGTTTAAACAATTAAGTTTTTACTTATTATAGAAGAACTTTAGATGCAAATCCCTAACGTAGTGTGGGGGCAAGAACACCCACAACAGCAAGCCAAAGCCTCTCACCATAGAGTTATCTACGTCACACCGGCACCCCGACACTGACTGGGTCCAGGAATTACGAACCCTCACCGCCACCATTTTTCCTCCCCGGGGTAACACGCCCCAACCAACATCACTCTGCCAATAAAGAAGCCAGAAGTAGGTTAGCCATATGAACCCGAAAAAAAAGGCATTTTCAGGCCTAATACGCATTAAAGTATTAATGTTAAATTAATATAAAAAATTACATCTAGTGGCAATACTGTACGAACCCGACAGATGGCTGGCAAGTTAGTCAAGCGGAGTGGAAAGGCGTGAGTGATGGAGACTGATCCTAGGCCGCTACTTACTGCTATCGAGTCAATTTTTACCACTGCAAAGCGAAATTTTTAAATATTAAATGTAAAAGATTAGAGTTAGAGAGATTTAGTTTTAAAGAAAGGTTAATACTTCACAAGCTTCAATAACAATGGTAGTCTAGTCACTGAAACCGACATTGCAGGAACACAGGATGCCATTTTTTTCACAAGAGCTGCACTTACTTTCCCTCTCCACTATGGAGTTGTAGGTGTAAGAGTGCCAATAGCCAGGCGCCAGGGTGGGCAAAGTAGGAATCGTGGGTTGAACAGGAACCGTGGTCTGGACAGGAATCGTGGGTTGAACAGGAACCGTGGTCTGGACAGGAATCGTGGGTTGAACAGGAACCTTGTATTGGACGGAAGGAACGTAATGATGGTAGTATCCAGCTGACCCCGTGGCGTCGCGCCGAGTTCTGCTCAACATCTTTTGGATATTTGCTTCGTGTTGTCTAGAGCGTTCTTCGTATCTACGCTCTATGTAGTTCTGCAGCGATTCCAGGCGAGATTTCAACTCATTGTTTAGCTGTTGACAAAAGCTTGTGTAAATAACCCTTTACACAAAGGATTTTAAGAACAGGATAGTCACGTAGCCAGCTGCTGAAGTTGTGTTTTCATTCAAAATATACATTTTTAATTTATTTAACCAACCCCCTTTAAACTTTGAATTATTGCTACCGTTCAGCTGCAAGACTTCTCACCTCGTCCAGGGTGAGGCTATCTATAGTTACTTCAGAAGGGTCCTTGTCACTGTAGGCGAGGGTGGACGTTATGGCCACCCACATCACCCACACTGACCACATCATCCTGGCGGCTCACACCTGCCGAGGAAGTTGCAAAGCAGTGAAGTACTACGAAATTTCTAAATTACCTAGTTTTATTAGTCTTATTAAGCTTTGAATGTGGACATTATTATGAAGCTAAAGTACCAATTTCATGAAAATTGGCGACAGCAATGGACCCTATTATATAACGAGTTTTATAAATGATGGGGGGGGGGGTTTAAAGCAATAGTATTTGTAGTTAAAAAAAACCTTCCATTAAATGTGTAAATTTAATGTAACTTTGAACTCTTAGTTAAGCAGCCTAGCAGTGCTAATACATTCCACAAAACCTTTATCTATAAAAGTTGTCAAAGTTAACGGCAACAGTGTCCAACAAATTTACTACTACAATTACACATTTAAAATCAGGTGCTTGGCGGAGTCTGGTTTATTAATCTATTACGCCAAACACCAACTCATGGTTTTAAAAATATAGCCACGGAATACATTGTAAATATTTAGCGTGCATTCTAGAAGTGAAGGTCAATTGTGTACATAACATTAGATAGGCATTATCCCTTTGGCAATAAGTATTAGTCGTATTCATTGAATCAATGTTTGTCCCGCTAGTGGGATTTTAATACGATATGTATGAAGCAGTTAACTAATTAGGTTTGTTCATTCTTTCCCCTCCCTTCATCCCCATTTACTTTGGATTTTTTTTTTTTAAAGTTTAAAGTGAGTCGAGGTTTAATCATGAAAAGAGAATTTCCAGGTAGCTTTGAATTCACAAAAAATACTAAAGTTTACAATAGTGTGAATGCACTAACTACAGTAAACAAACTATATTTGGACAAGATTCACAGTACACTTTGAATAAAGCCATTTCTTGAACATGGCTAATATAGTAGAGTCGGGTTCGTTCTCTACGCACAATCTAGAATTCCGGGTTCGAATCCCAGGCTGGCACATTTCATTTCACCTAATGCCTCTTAACTTCCGAGTACCTACTTCCTGCTAAGTGAAGTCAGCTTCTTGTGGGGTTGCATCCTGGGCAGGGTCCAATTATTTTTTGTTTGGTTTCTTCCCCCCCCCCCCCCCTTTTCGATAAAAGCCTAACGTTTTAATAAATTCTGGCTTCCTGTCCCATGACAATTAATTATTAGTATATAATTACGTCTATTTTTTCCCCACATTCAAAGGAATGGCAAGTAAGTGTTACTACAGTTTACATTCAGTAAGATCCACCCGAACAAGAACTTTCAGCCGATTTTTTTTTTTTTTTTTTTTTTTTTTAAATATGAGGTACATCTGCATTAGTGCAGCTACCCTAGACTATATGAAGTGGAGTACAGTGTGTCAAAAAAGCTAACTAGGTGATGCTAAGAAATCCCCATCACACAGGATGGTTAGTCATACAGAGGCATGTGATAAGCAGTCTGCACTGGCAGACTCCAGATGCATTTTGAGGATATCATCAACACAAGATTGAATAAGGTAGCAGTGGTAATACAAGTCCCCATCTCGCAGGATGGTCAGTCATACAGGGCCATGTGTTTAATAGCCTGCACTGGCAAATTTTGGGTATACTGTGAGGATATCTTCAAGAATACGAGAGTGAATAAAGTAATTGCAAAGCTCCAGGTACCTCATGCCAACTGGTCTGAAAGGTCTAATAACTGGGCATTCAGTGATTTAGTGCGGGAGATCGTGCCGTAGTTCCTGCTCACAGAGTTTGCAATTGGAGTGCTCAGGATTGGGAGACCCGTCACCTGCAGCCACAGGTAACGGTAACCCAACCTGATCCTTGCAACCACCGTGTCGCACAGTCTAGTGGACGTTTTGTACTGTCCATAGATGTAGGTTTCAGATCTGAACAAATCATAGCTTTTTATACTAGTACTTTCAGGTCGTTGGGAGTCTAAGTTCTTTCCTATCAGATCTGAATGTTTGGACCAATACAGTTTTGACAGCAGAGATGGGGATACCTAGATCTAATTCAACTTCAGACTTGTTACACGCTAATTTGGCTGCAATGTCTGTCAGTATGATGGGTTATATTTATGTGTGAAGGTATCCATACAAAGGAGATTCGAGACCCTTTACTCTGTGCATCAATTAGGTCATTTATAATTGGGAGTATGAGGTTCTTGCTGACGATCTTCCAAGAGAAGTTTTCGATTGCTTGAAGAGCAGACTTTGAATCACAGAATATTATTCCTCCTCCAATGTTTTTTAATGTATTGGTTGCCAAGTGTAATGCTGCTAGTTCTGCTTGTGTGGAGGTCAGCCAGTTGTTTAACCTGATAGTCTTTGTGCAAATATTATTTCTATAAAACCTACATGCCGCTGCAGTCCGTCCAGTAGATGATTGGACTGAGCCGTCGGTGTAGACAGTGCTCGTGAGATCTTAAACTCTCTATGGAGGAGGCAATTGTTTCAAGAGTGACAGCTTTGAGAAGAGCAAGATTCTCATTATCTTTCTTGGTGACAGGTGTGTATGATACTTTAATGGTGGGGTACAGATAAAGAGGAATATCAGAGACAGGTAGATTGCACTTAAAAGGAATGTTAAGTTTAATGAGATTGTAAGCATTGTTTCTCAGCCAATTATCATAAAAGGAGCGAGTTGGTATGTCGGCACCAGTCAAAAGGGTGTTAACAGCACTAAATTTGTCTCTGAGCAATGCAGGAGATGTAGGGTCTCCCTAAGCCTAGCAGTAGTAAAGTCTAGAAGTCTGTAGTTTTCTGGCATGACACACAAGATGTGGCTCTTACTGCACAAGATTTTGGATGGGATAACTAATGTGAATTGTTCTGCATGTCTGCTATACTATATTATTACGTCCCTCGGGCTGCTCAAAGGATATCACAGAACATCCAAGCCCTCTATTTAAGGTCAGCATCTATTCCAAAAAACTACGCCCGAGATTAGGTAGAGTTGTATCAAGCGAGCGCCACGTCTCTGCACCATGGGAGGTTACCCACTTTCCAAATTACCATC